TTTCATTATGCCTGTAGAGCATAATTTTAACACTTCCACTGAACTTTAATTTTTAATCATTTCTATAGCATTAAATTTTTATATCTTAATTATTCCTTGTATAGAAAAAAATTTTACAATGTAGTTATATTTGATAATATATAACAAAACAAATTTAAAATTCTAAGGAAATTTAACAGTGAGAAAAAGAATACTGAGATGAAGACTAGTTATTTTAAATTGTCCATAAAATAATCAGAGTTGAAATAATTTTGTAGCATAACACTGATATAAAGATATGATAGAAATAATTATTGTAAGCACTTCCTGAAGACACATAATTTTCTAATGTAATTTAAAATTCAAACAAAATTCTTGTAAAAACGAAAGTAACATATTATAACATAACAAATGGCATTTTCTACAATGAAAGTTCACATATTTCCTTTTGTGTAACGGAGGGTAGTCTCATTCCGGAACAACTGCTATATGAAATTTTCCATCAATGACAAAATGCATCTTTAAGTCTGGTCACTAATCTCTACATTTCCCTTCCTTTTGTGACATAAATGCACCCTTCTGAGAATTCATTAAACTATACACAAGGATCTTTGTTACAAATAGGAGTGATTTTTTAAAAGGAGGAAAACATTCAGTTCAAGATACTCCATCCTTTCAAGGCTTTTACAGCTGCCAAAGCCCCAGCTGCAAAATCTTACGAATTTAATTTCTCAAATGTAGTAAGGGCAATTATAGCCAGTGCTACACAGGTTGTTTCTAAATTTAAACCACATTTTAGATTGTTACAGTTACTCCATATATTACGTAAGTGAGTCAGAAAGTTTGCTGCACGACTACATAAATATGTTCCATCTAAGACTATTTGGATGACACTGTGTGGCAACACTTCAGACATGTACCTTTATTGCGTGACGTAGCAGCTTCCCCAAGGCAAGTTTAATTTTTCTGATAATCAGTCGCAAACATGTCTCGACAGCTGCAAATAGTGTCCACATTGGAAATGCGTGCAGTGATTCGTCTTTTGTGGGCAAAAAGGTGCAACTGCACTGAAGTTTATGGGCAGTTGCATGAAGTGTATGGTGAAAATGCAGTGTCACATCAAGCTACTATGAAATGGTGCAACATGTTTGAGAATGAACATACAGATATTGACAATGCTGAGCGCAAGGGAAGACCATCAACTGCAACAAATTCGAAAATTGCTGCTCGCGTGAATGAATGCATTCTTGCAAACAGACGCATAATGATAGATGAAATCTCAAATGAACTGGATATTTCTCATGGAAGTGTGCATAAATTATTGCCGATCACCTTAAATTTCATAAAGTTTGTGCTCAATGGGTGCCACATCTATTGACATAGGAACATAAAGGAAAGCATTTCGAAAGTGCATTTGCATTTCTGCAACGTTACCAAACGGAGGAAAATGAGTTTTTGGACAAAATTGTGACTGGAGATGAAACTTGGATTCACCACTTCTCACCTGAAATGAAACACATCTTCCTCGAGTGGAAATATTGCAGTTCCCCGACACGAACAAACTGTCGAACTGTTCCATTTGCAGGAAAGGTGATGATGATGCTGTTTTTTGACAGAGAAGGCGTGGTGCATACAGAGTTCATGCCAAAGGGTGCCACAATTAATGCATCTTCTTAATGTGAAACACTAAAACGATAGCGACAATCTCTTAAAAATCAACGGCCAGGTAAACTGTCGAATGGCATTGTGCTCCTGCATAACAATGCAAGACTGCATGCAGCAAAACAAATGTGTGATCTTCTGAAAACGTTTAGGTGGGAAGTTTGGAATCGCCCTCATTATAGCCCAGACCTTTTACCTCCTGACTTCCATGTGTTTGGTCCCATGAAACAAGAACTTTCAAAGTGACGGTACCATTCAGATGCTGAAGTGAAAGCTGCAGCCTAACAATGCTTATCGGACATTGCACAGGATTTCTTTGCAGAAGGCATCGAAAAAATTGTACCATGCCTTGAAAAATGCTTAAATAATGGAGGTAATTACATTGAAAAGTAGATTTTGAATGGAACTTTAAGATATAAGTAAAGTTATTGTAAAATTTTGCTCCTGTTTTGTTTTCTTAGGCAGTGCTACTAACTTTTTGACTGACCCTCATACATAAAGAAAACTGAAGTAAACATCTTGCATAAGGTTACTGATGTAACACTAATAAACTGCCAAAGATGTTTATAGTCCATAACTAAATCGTATTTCCAGCAATTCAAGACAGTTTTGTGATTCATGTATGTTTGAACAAAGTCACATCGACAGATACAGTCAATGGGCGCTTCAAATCAATAAATCATTATATAATCAGATTGACAGAATTTAGCTTTTTGTAGTGAATTTATTTTCCCATTCTACATATCACAAATTTTAATTATGAATCAGAATCATTAATGATGAATTCTGATACAAAGTTCAGCATTAATGTAATAAATTACATGAGGAACTCAGAGATCATTTTTCATCTAATTTTTGGCTACTATATCCTCTTAAGTTTCCTGAATTTCACAACTTGAATCAAGATGCCACACTATGAGCTTTTTTAATCCCAACTGTCCAGATAGTATTTTAAAAGCATTTTCTTGGAACTATTCCAAGATGAGTGAATCATTTTGGAAAGTGCAAAAACGTGTTCTTTATTTTCTTGGTATTTTGGCAGTGAAAACATGTTCCAGGTTTTGTCTTACACCTGATCCTTCAGCAGAGTTAGATTTCATTGCTTGCCAAATTCAGCAATCTCTCAGGCACTCTGGTTTTACACTAGAGTGAGAAAGATGCACCATCATTTAAATTTCAGCCTTTTCCACTCCACTAAAGTGAAGGATACTTCAGTAACTGGCATTAGCTAAAGTAAGTGAAACCATAAAAATTTTCCAGATGAGCTCTCCACAAAGATAACTGCAACTCATCTAAAATAAAGCACTCTTAATAATCACTTCACATCAACATCACTATTATCCAAATTACAGATAACTTAAGTGATGAGCAAATAAATATGTCAGAAGATTGTTAAGATAGTCGAGATATAATCAGGTTTCAAACTTGTATTTAAAATGTAGCACAAAACCAAAACAATCACTAATCTGCTAGCACCTGTTTATATGATTTAAATATTTATAATTTGCAAAATCCCATCAAAATGTGGCCACATTACATATAGTGAAAATCGTTTAACATGAAACTGAGGGGACTGAAATATTTTTGCGTTAAAAGAATTTTGTGTTAAAGGATATTGAAAACAAATATTCAACAAAATTAAGTTTTTTAGAGTACATTTTATTTACATAGACGTGTATGTAATAAAAATCAAGGAAACAAAAACATCCACAAGAACTTAATTTAATACTTAATTTTCAAGTTTTTTTAAAAACAAAATTCACGAATGAAATGTGCGTCTAAATAACTGTGCTAACTTTTCATGATATTCCTCATTTCAGATGACATGGGAACAGGAGCAGCATTATTCATTTCATTTTCATCATCGGAATCTGCATCATTTTTTTTAGCTATGAACAAACTCCAAACTGTCTTCGTCTTCCATAATCGGGGCTGTGCACACATTATCTTCTACTGCAATGAATTATTCCAATGATACAGTAGGACAGTCCAATAATACAGAAGCTTTCTCAAGCATTAAGTGTCGGCTTAGTTTCTGTATCCTCCTTCTCCATTTCTTTTGATGTGAACCAAACTTGCTGATTTTTACACACACTGCGATGTACTCATCACTGAATTCCAAAGAAAACTGATGAGAGATCAGATGTTTTTGTGTGGCATTTGTAGGGGGTGGAGGGTGAAAGTAACTTAGATAAACAAAACTGGCTCATATCACAGGCTATTCTGAAAGTACTATTTTAAAGCCAAGTTAGGCTCCTTTCAATGAAACATGTGAAAGCATCTCTCTTTCATTTTACACCCTGCTTAAATCTCACCTGCAAGGCCAGCATAATCCATATTTTGATCATTCCTAGAATGGATAACTTTTCATGTTAAGGGATTTTTGTTTCATGTTAAGAGAAACAAAATGCATGAAAATACATAGTAGTTCGTCGGGACCGTTGTATTATTTTGTGTTAACTGATATTCTGTCTTAAGCATTTTCGTGTTAAATGTATTCCACTGTATGTGAAGAATAAAATATTTTTAATACTACTTTGCATATAATAATCTACTTTTTTAATAAAAAATAGTATCTGGTTTATTTTTAGGACTAGAGGTGATTTTTATACAGCCTTTGGAGACTATACGTAAAAGCACACAGTACAATTTGAATTTTAATTTTCCTTCTTCATTTCATATTTAGGTAAGAACTATTAGTGAACACAGCCTATAATTTTTTATCAAGTCCAAAACTATTATAATAAATTTCTGACACCAAAGTCTGTTACATATCCTTAGACTTTTCAAATGACCTTTATTTCAAATTTTAAATTACTGCAAATATTAAAATGCCTTTCCCTGTAGAATATTACTTCAGAAAAATAAGAAAATTTATTTATTGCTAAATAGATTTAAAACAAACGAAAACAAAAGCTTCAGTGTATTGCTAGAAATTGGGCATTTTTGGCTCATAATTATTAAAATTACAATATGACACCACAACTGGGTCATTTTCTTTCAGCTTTACATCTTCCACTCAACCAACTTAGAACTAAGCCAGAAGACAAATGCACAAATATAAAAAATCAGGCAAAATAAGGAACTTTATTTTGGTATAAATTTTGAATAAAATTCTTATAGATTTCAAAGGGACCAGAAACCCTTCTTCAGCTGAAAAAAAAAATTTTTGAAATCCATAATTTTATTCAAAATCTACACTAAACTAAAATCATTTTTTGCCTAATTTGAATAGTCCAAAATGGTTAAGCTTATAAATAGCTTCTGCATTTCATACAATAACTTTCTAATTATTTAATTTAATACATTATAACAAAAGTCTTGGGAAAATTTCTTAAAACAGAAATTTAGAAACCCACCTTCTCCATGCTCTTTGAATTGTAATAGCACAACTATTTTCCATTTTTAAAATATAATCCTCAAAGGAACATTTCTTTTCTCCTGCTTTTACTAAAACTGTAGATTCTTTTGCAATAAGCAATGGTCTCGATGCAAAATCTGAAGAACAATAAAGTGAAGACAATCTCCATGATGCAACAGGAATTTTTGAGTCACAGAAAACTTTATTGACGACACACATAAGAACCCTGAAAAACAGAAAATGGAAAACAGGAGATTGCTTTTAAAGTGAGACTAGAGCAAAAGTAAAAAGCTTTCAGTAAAAATATACTTACAATACCAGTATAATAAATGTTGACATCTGTTAGTGAAATATATACAGCAAGTGCAGAAATCATACCTACAAGTGTGGTCTCGTGAAAGAAACTAGTGTTTACGCATGCTAATTTTATCAAAACTTCTGCAAAGATGATAACTGATAAAAAAAATTTACCAAATATAAGGGCAAAAAACAATATGAAAAAGATACTGAATTAGCTTTGAACATTGAGGATTTATTGACATGTAAAACGTACTCGTACATTCAAACAAATGTAAAATTTTGGAGCATTTCCTAATTGGTTTAATTAGTTTTTCATTGATAACTGATGTCATTTACATTGCGGGTTATATAAAACGACCAGGTCTAACTTTAAATGTGATAAGAAACATAAAATTTTAATATGGGTTGTAAAAGTAATGAAATGAGTGTTTCCGAAATTGAATTAATCTTAAAGCGTCATAAAGGTGGTAAATCGTATAATGAAATTTCAGTTTTAGTTAGCAGACCACATTCAACTGTACAGTCAATTATTCTAAAGTTCATTACCTCTAGAACTGTGCAAAATAGTGGTCATCCAAGATGAGCATATCTACTTACATAGGTTGGCAAATGTTTTCTAGCACGTTCGTTGAAGAAAGATCCAAAAGTAAGAGCTCATAACCTTACTGCAGAATTGAGAAACATGGGAAGAACAGTACCTGTATGTACAATTCGAATTACATGCAGAAAACAAGGTCTCCATGGTCATGTTCTGATACAAAAATTCTTTGTGAGTGAGAGTAATCAGTGATTATCCTTCACAAAAAAAAATACATGAACGAAAGCTCAAAATTCTGGAAGAACATTATTTTTTCAGTTGAAAATAAATTCATTATTTTTGGATCAGATGGGAGGTGAATGGTGTGAAAGAAACAAAATACAGAAATGCATCCCAGGAATTTGCTACCAACAGTGAAACACGGAGGTGGAGTTGTGTAGGTTTGGGGTTGTACGAGTGCTTCCAAGTTCGGTAATTTAGTCATCATTAATGGTATTATGAACCATCTGCTATACATTGGCATTCTGAAAAATAATTTACCGACAAAAATGGTTTGGGATAGTGAATATTTTTTTCATGCCCCAAGCATACAGCTCTAAATACATGGAACTGGATATTATATAACAACCTCAAAACTTGTGAAATTTCCTCCTCAGTCACCTGACCTCAATCCCATTGAGAATTTATGGGAAACACTTGATAAAAATGTTAGATACAGGCACATTTCTAATAAAAATGACTTAATAGCTGCTCTTAAACAAGGGTGGAAATCCATATCTAGCTAAGTAACAGTATATTTTATTAAATCAATGACAAGGGGACTCAAAGCCATTATTCACCCTAAAAATGTCCTACAAGGTATTAATTTAAATATATTTATGAAAATATTCTACACAAATACTTTTTTCATCACAAGATGATGGACTTTTTTTTTTTTTTTTTGTAAATATCTTATTTATACATGCATTTATTTTCATGTAAATTTCACATTGAAATATTAAAGTATATTTCATTACATATATTTAATTACTTATAGTGGAATTTAAGTTTATAGTTTTTATCAATGAGGCATTTTTAGATCATAACACTTCCTATGTGAATACTTTCTACACTCACTATAGCCACTTTCCAATTATCCACCCCCTTGAGAAGTATTCATTAAGTAATGTGCTATGTCACCAAAACAGGCTATCCATGACACTGCCAAAATATCTTTATATGGCAAACCAAATATGCACAAATGCGCAGCTGATGAAAGCTCATCTTCACTTTCAAATCTGATGGTAATTCCTGATTAAAAACTTTTGTTACATTTGAACATACTTTTTTACTGCAAATAATTATAATGGGACTGAGAAATTTCCCACCTGATGAAAAAGAAAGCATTGCATTTCTACAGAAATACGTCTTGGCTAACAGTAAAGAATGTAAAAATTCACATTCTATACAGATGTGTTTCTTAAACACTTTGATTTATGCATTAATGTCAATTCTCCAATTTTTCTAAAGAGAAAACAGAATACTGTATACATGGGGAACAACAGGCACAAGTAGAAGCTAAGCTAGCATTTATGTAGTACCACAGGTCACTGAGGTATAACTAACAGTTAAACTTCTGCCCCAATTTTTAGTCAGGACACCTAGGTAGCAATCCAAGGGTCTTCTACCCCTCTTTAACTGCCACAAACTCATGAGAGGACCTTTGACTTGCCGTGCATTTTGAGTGTCCCATGCTGCATGGATACCCATGCCTTTTCGAAAGTCAAACCCGGGCCTATCAGAACGGCAGTGGGTGTCACTAACCACCTAGGTAGGATGAGGAAACAGCATATGCAATGCGGAATTTGTGCAACGCTCAGGTTTTTTTTAATGAAAACTGTTCACTGTGCACATGAGTAACAGAGTACACTATGTCAATATAAGTAACAGAGTGTACTATGTCAATATGTACATATGCCCAGGTTTTGTATTCCCTGATGTTTTCTGAAACTAAAATCGCTGTATACATGGGGAAAAAGGTGAGCTTTTTATTATGGATGTTTCTCGTATTTTTTATTTTGTTAATTGGCTGCTGTTTAATGTAATTCTCAGTGAACCATCTTTTTTTTTTTAAATGGCTGTGATCTTCTGTGTCTTCATTTGGCAAAAAATTAACTGCCAAAAGTTGGTGAATAATTTTTCACCAAAACTGTGGGATGTGTGAATAATCAAAAAGTATGAATATTTATGTAAGTTTATACATGTAAAATGAATAACGCATAGTTCAGACAGACACAAATCTGAATATGTATTCTACTCCTCAATTCAGAACAAGTGAAATATCTCTTTTTATTATATGCACTCATAAGCAAAACAAAATGCATACAAAGGGATTATGAAAATATGCATTTACTATGGCCATTAGCAAAAACATAAGACATGATCTTAAAGTAAAGAAAACTGTTTTTATTGATAAATCATATACAAATGTGGAAGAAATGAGGATGCTAAATCATTTCTCCTTTGTATCTGTACATGTTATCCCATCACAATTTGACTACTAGCCAGATTATGCAAGTTACTTTTATTACTCTTAGTAGCACAGCTTTTCTTAAACTACTTACGAAGAACTGTATTTAAGCAGCATCTGTTTGCAAAATTTGTATAACGTCTTAGTTCCTGCTTCATAAATTTTCATCCATTAAGCTAATACAGGGTGTTTCATATTAAATGAGACAAAAAGCACAGCAGAGTACAAATTCTGTAATTGGTTAAGCTGAACCAAATTAATTCTGAAACTATAATTATACAAGTTTTATCTGGAAAGAGCAAAAAAATCTCCAGTTATGAAATTGCCACTAGACGTACTGTTAATCAAAATGATGCCTTCATGCAGGAGAAAGCATACTCTGTTTTGGAATATGCCAAAACATCATATATTGTCATTAAAGGATATTTTTTGCACGAAATTATCATGCTACTTGAAGTTCAAATGCTACTCGGAGCATAAATTATTCAGAGTTGAATAATGGGTCCTATCTGGACCCAGCTGTGGTAGCACTTGCTTGCAAAGACATCTTGGATTTGAAGCTTGGAATCCTAGATTCCAAAACATAACTAATTCGGGAAAGCATTTTGGCAGCTCGGGGAAGAAATATACTGTATTCACTTGTGTATTCCCCCTTAGCTTTCTACTCCAAGGTTCTTTTTTTTTTTTTTTTTTTTTTTTTAAATATTCATGGAGTTTTATCTTTCTATCTAGTTACCTTAAATTTTAAATGAATTTATCCACGTGATGGTTGTTTTCATCTAACTGATCTGCTAGAGGATTTTCGGTGCACAGACCCTCATTAACGAAGCATTTACAGTGAAGAGCTTCAAGAAAATAGGCATATCTAATACTCTTCAGGGTTCTTCATTTAAATTATTTGAGAGCTTACCGAACAACCTCAAATGCTGCACTGTTTCAGCTCACCAGCAGCATCCCCCTGTTCTTAGTTGCAGAGCAGGAACATGGAAAGGCTTCAGGTCTTCAGCTAAGAAAAAACTGCAAAATTAAAAATGAGATAGTAGCTGCCAGCTCCTACACCTCACTGATCCATCCATATGAAAGACACCCGGCTAGCCAAAATAATATCACACTATGCATAAAGCAGAATAAATACCAAGCATTATTTCTGAAGATCTTCACCAATGATTCTGGCATAAACAACGAAAAAGGATGTGCTTTAAAAATATATCTCAGTGACCATGACACAAAAGACTTCAAGTTCCAACTTGACAAAGAGAATAGCGTTTTTCAGTCGGAAATGTTTGCGATTTTGCAGACAATCAACGTAAGCACACATCATCATTTTCCAAGGACTTACATCTATACAGATTGTCTCTCGGCAATGCATGAACTTGCAAACACAACTAATAGATCACCATTAGCTCAGGAAATTCTTATAAAGTCCTCCAATGCCCAAGGCCAACACTTCTTTATAATCTGGATCAAGGCCCATGTTGGTCATAAAGGAAACGAAGAGGCTGACATATTAGCCAAGGAGGCAGCACAGGAAATCAATGCAAGAAATAAGCATCCCCTGGCCACCTTCTCACCACAAACTAAAACTACACATCACAACTAAAGACTTATGGCAACAATGGTGGGACGCTGCAAATACAGAAAGAAGAGTTTACAACCTCTTCTCCAAAGTTGACTCTTCTCCAATCTCTCTCTCCAGACATATCACGTGGTTTATCACGGGGCACGGTTCCTTTTCCATGTACCTCTATGCAAGAAATCTCTCTTCATCAGACTCCTGTGCATGTGGTGAAAAGGGTCACCCCAACATTATCTATTTTTCTGCCCGTTTACAGATTCCCTTCATCTAAAGAAGCCAAATTCAGAAGAGGGTTTATTCCCATTTCTAATACATACAGTTAAAAACAAACACTTGAGGAACAAAATTATGAAGGTTATTGACTTTTTGGCTGCTAGAAGTCAAGAGCTATGTAGTGTAATTTAGCCTTCAAAGAAATGCTCCAGCAATAGCAAAATAAAGCAATTAAATGCAGATATAATGTACGCAGGTGTACCTTTATAGGAAAGAAATAAGCACCATAATCCATATGAAGCACAAAATAGGTCACAAGTAGGGTAAGAGGCTCCTATCTGTTTACTTCAGGTAAATAATATATAACCCCTACATTTCTATGTAACATAAGGTCGCATTACCTGATAAGTGAACACATATAATAAATAACCACCATTCACTTGGTAAAGTATCAACAATGTAATATATCATAGTATGTAATTCATGTAAACTAATTATTGTAATAAAAACGCACGTAATTGCATACAATGAACTGACAAAAATAAGTTGGCAATGTATCAGCAAATTTATGCAGATATATCTAAAAGTACGTAGTACGCATAAGTATGCAGATTAAGCTATTTTTTTCTTTTGTTTTCAGACTTATTTATTTATGTCTTTTTTATTTTTGACAGCTGTTTGTAAAAAAAAATTATGTAACAAGTCTTGATTGTAGGCATGATCTAGAAATAAGTTGCTTCGAGCCACCTCAATCTATAATGTCATGATCAATTTTTACATGCAAATAACAATGTACTGCTAGACAATAACGTTATTTCTGAAAATCAATTAACACAAAAACATACGTTACAGCACATAATGAATCATCAAAATTGAGCTGTTAAAGTTTCAGCACAACTTTACAACAGTACTTAAATGTAAGCTCTGTAAACAATTTTATAGTTCTTAATTGATTCTTATAGTAAACAGTTCATGTTTACAAAAATGATTTGTAACGTAGGAACATCCCGCCTGTTTCTAATGCAATATATAATGTCCTGAAACATGTTGCCTGTACCCACTACAATAGATAACATCTTCAAAATATGCACCTGCACAACTATGTATTTCGCAATGTATATCATGTAATTTAATCCCTTTTACTTGAGCTAATTTAACGCTGAAAGGTAGGAGTACCATTGATGCCGCCACTGGTGGCAGTACTTATAGTGCTCACTGGAGTCACATTTTCCATCACGACTCGAGGAATGATGCCAGAATGTTGTTAGTTTTCTAGTTAGTTGTGCGGGGCTAATACCCGCTTACTTATAGGGCAAATATTAGGTGGCCCCCCTCACTTCTACATAACATAACAATAGAAGAGAGACTGAACAGTTTCAAAAATTATGATAACGGTGATGATGATGACAATTTGCAAGTTGTGGCAGGTGATACAGTTTCAGCAGCAGAGATTTATCTGAGGCCTATGTAGTAGCTGTAGACTAAAATAAGAGTTGATGAGATTCAAGATACACAGAAGCAAAAATGTACTTATCTTATAATGCTAACATTTACTATGTATTCTTGCTGAAATGTAGGTTTTCTTTAAATAAATAATATTGTCATAATACCAGTAGTTTATTCATGAACGCTTTGCATTTGTTCTCATAACTACATGCTTTGGAAATTAAATAAAATTCCCCTCTCGATTTCCATATAATAAAATTAGTAAAAAAAAGGGGGAATACATGACTAAATATTTTATATCAACAGAAAATCACCAAGCCCCTGAATTCAGATGTAAATGGATAATAATTTTGTCAAATTAGTTGTTTTGCTATAAATAACTGACCAGAATGACATTGAAGATAAGTGAAATATCATAAAAGCTCGGAAAATCTACTAATCAAGGAATCTGAAAAATTAGCTCAGCAGACTTCATGACTAGAAAGGCATAAATATATATGAACTTTCAGTTTGAAAGATTAAATAACAGAATTAGAAGAACAATTTTTCGCATTGTTGAGATTTCAACTGTCATTTTTTGCTCACACAGTGTCTAGACATGCCAAATTATACTGCTAAATATTTATTCTCAATTACTGCAAAACAGGTACAAAAGTAATAACTAATTCCCAGTAGAAAAAGTAAATGATTAAACCATATTTCTAATTTAAAAATAATAGCACATGGATTACAAATCTAATTTTCAGGCCCAAATGAACATTGAAGACATTCTGTAAACAACTGATGAGGAATTAGCAAACATAGGAAGACATTTTTCTGTTTAATCAGTGCACAATATGTTAATTTCTCTCATTTTTTTTTATGATTTCAATTAAGGATATAGCAAAATTTCTTACAAATGTTATGAATGAAGCACATTAATTTATAAAATTTCATAAAATATGAGATCACATATTTGAAAAAAAAAACTAGTATTTAGATGTAATTAAAAGCAGACTTTCATATATTTTTCTTATACTTCACAGATATTAACATAATTAAATTTTCTTAATAGCTCAAAAGTAAAAATTCTGATCTACAGAAAACAAACTAAAAAGTTTTTCATATTCATCACAATCAAAATTCCATTTATATTTATGAAAAGAAAAAAATTAAGCAAATTATTTCTTATTTTTACTTATTTAGCAAACAACACTCAATTAATTCAATTAATGCACACTTTTAATTCAATTAAAAAATTTTATGTAAGGTTAATTTTTTGTAAAGGCAATTACTTTAAACACTAAGAAGGCTAATGTCACCATATATATATTTTGTTAAAATTGTTTTGATTTGCCAACTATTATAATTTTTATTACTCTGAGAAAACGTTAAGTAGTAGAAAATCTGTATTAAAGATATCCTGAAACATACTGATGGATTATTGAGACTATTTGATATAATCATCTATGTTATAAAAATATATATATAAAAGAATATGTTCTTAATTAAGAAAACAACCTTGCAACATAATTCCTTGACATGAAACGCTGTATTTTCTTCTGTCTTCTGTTTTCACGATACCATGCCTAAATAAAATGTTTATTGTCATTTAAATAACTTTCACAGTACACTGTTGAATGTTAAATGCATGTTAACCATAAAAATTACATACTTATTTAAAAGTTGTACTGTATACACTGCATGTCAAAATTAATGGATAATCTTAAAATATATGCTCATTGATTAATGCATTCATCCAGTGTGCAACAGAGTAATTACTCACCTTAATTACCTGCAACTGAATGTAAAAGGTAACTGACAGTATGTTGGAATTCAGATGATCAGTGCTAACATTAATGTGATTTCTGATAGCAGTTCATATTCATCAGTTATGACACAAAGGCATTACGCTCAACAAGAGACAAAAGCGGCAGTTACCGCTTACCTAGTTATTTCGAGTTAATTCAGTCATTACAAATTTGTTGAAAATAAATAACTCGTGATTCATGGATCATAATAGACTCCACCAGGTTCATGGAAAGAACTTTTTTATTTACACTCTTTTGTAAAAAAAAATTGAAGCACCAAGGACTTTTGCGATTGTGACGAAATTTGGTATGCAAAAACATCTTGAACAAACATGCAAATGATCAGAGTTTCAAGGCAAATGAACAGGGAATTGTGATCATAGCGTGCATTTCTAGTACGTAATTCACAAAGTAAAAAACATAAAAGAGGCGGAAAATGTATCTTTTTTTGTTGCTGCCATTGTAATTCTGTAAAGAAGCAACTAAAGATGCAACTTATGATGATATCGAAGACCTTACAGACAACTAAACGACTTTGAATGTGGTTGCATTGTAGGGTTACGTTAAGCTGGGTGGTCATACCAAGCAATAGGATGCCACCTACAGCGTACAGACACTGCTGTGCAAAGATGATGGCAACAATAGTTGCTACAAGGAAATTGCAGAGGAAATGAAAACTCTGGAAGGCCAAGGAGCACAAATGCGAGGCAAGATAGGATGATTGTTCGCCAGGCCCGAACTGCCCCGACGGCATCATTGTTGACTATTCAATGCATTACAGCCACCTCTATAACTCCCGTGGTCCACCATCTCATGGTGCTTGTCTGGGATGGTGTTACACTCACAGAGGCCTTTAAGGCATTTGCCTTTGACCCCACAACATCGGCGGAGTCGTCTGAAGTGGTGTTGCAGACGATCATCATGGCTGCCATAAGACTGGCATCATATAGTGTTCAACGATGAATCCCACTTCACTCTTCAAGCGGATGACCGCCGTGTTCGTGTCTGGAGAGGATGGGGCCAGTGGTCCCCTTCAGCATTCGTTTTACAAAGGCATACAGCTATAACTACTGGTGTGATGATGTGGGGCGCCATTTCTTAATACAGCAGGTCATCTTTAGTGATCCTCCATATATCTTCATAACAGCTCATCGATATGTTGATACCATTCTGTGGCCAGTTGCACTACCCTTCATGGCACATCATCCTGGGGCCATTTTCCAACAAGATAAAGCCAGGCCACATACCATTCACATATCTCTGGATTGTCTCCGTGCAGTTGATACTCTGCCTTGGCCAGCACGATCACCAGACCTTTCCCAATCGAGCATGTCTAGGGCATGGTAGGCTGCCAGATTCGGGCACCACAAAATCGCAGATCTGGATTAACAGCTGATGAATGACTAGCAGAATGTGTCACAGAATGACATAGGAACCTCTACCACTCCTTGCCTCAACGAATTCAAGCATGCATTGCCGGCAGGAGCGGTTCAACCAACTACTAATTTGAACATTCAGTGGGTGATTGTGAGTCATGAACAAGTACTATAACCTTGATTTTTTAATCATTGTATTATCTGTGTATGAGCTACACATATATTCAATTTCATCAAAAACAAGAACTTCTTTCATGGTATTTCGATTTTTTTGCAAAAGTGTATACAGTTTCACAGTATATTAAATAGTTTCATAGTTTGGGGCGAGTTCATCAAAAAATGGATGCACGAAGCTGCATATTTCTGATGGAGGTTTTGTAACCAGTCACAGATATGAAAACAAGATCTTAGAACCTAATGTAAGGCTCTTTAGAGGTGTCATTAGCCCAGATCTTTTGCTAATGGATGAAAATGCTTCTCTGTATTGGTCATCTCCGATCTCAGAATACTTTCAAACAAATGATATTGCTCAAATGGATTGGCCAGTTTACTTAACAGACTTGAACCTGAATGAGTATATGTGGAATCTTAGGCTGCCAAATTGCAGCATTCCAAATGCCTCCCCAGACCTCCCCCAGCATCTAAAATGTGGAATTTCTGAACAGTGGTGTGCAGTTCCACATGATTTGATATACAGTTTGTTAAATTCCATGAAATCAAGATGTAAGGTATGCATTCTGCCTGTATATACACCATATTAAAGAAAGATTTATTGCAAAACAGGGGATATCATTTTACCATCATTAATAAATTTATATGAATATGATACAAATATATTGAATTAATTGGCCAACATGGTAATTTATATTAAATATTGCTTCTGCACAAACTGGAATCATTTTTTCAAGAAGCGCAGTAAAGTTTGATTTCTGTCAATATCATTCAATTTTGACAAACAGTGTTAATACAAGGTAACCAAAAACGTTCTTGCCCTTTTGGGCAGTGAGAGAGAAAAAAGTCTTAAAACAAATAATAATCATCGCTAATCCTCAAAGTAATCACCATTGGCATCCAGTGCCTTTTGCTAAGAAGTGGCAAGCTGTGCGATGCCATTACGGTAAAACTCAGGAGTCTTGGACGCAAAGAAGTCCGTGAGGGCCTTTTCAAGGTCTGGCCGGTTGTTGAAGGATTTCCCACGAAGATGATTGTCCAGGGAATGGAAAAGGTGGTAGTCTGTTGGCACATCCCTGGTCTGGGGAGTATGGTGGATAGAGTAGTGTCTCCCAGCCCAGTCTCTGGCCTCCCAAGCAACATGCAGCCTCACATTGTTATGGAGGAAGAGTACACCCTTACCATTGACCAATGCATCACTGCCTGATGCCCATGTTCCAAATGCTTCGAGTAAAGGCCTGCCGTGATGGTTTGGCCCATTGGCAGGAGCTTGTAGAGCACCACTTGGTGAGTAGTCCACCAGATACAGAGCATTATCTTGCATGGGTGGAGAGAAGTTCTCGCAGTATGAGGCACAGGGTCCCATGGTGACAACCAATATGTGGAATGGCTGGTTGTGTCAGACTGGACCCACTTTTCATTGCTACTGAGTACTTGATCAAATATGGATACACTGTGGTGCCAAGTAAGCAATGACAAACAGGCAGCAACACGCTGTTGCTTGTTTGCACCAGACAGTGAATGGGCTACCCACTTTCTCAGCTTGTATGCCTTTCCTATGTGGTGCAAATGGAGTCTGATCATTTCATCAGATACCTGGAAGTGTGCAGCAAGCTCACCACATGTTTGGCTACTGTCACTCTCTATGGCTGCTCTCAGGGACTCATCGTCCTACATGGTGCATCACTAAGACATATTCTTGACCTAAATTTCTGGAACCATGGCCTAGCGGTTTGCTCATTAATGGCATCATCCTCAAAGGCCTTGCAAATATGATGACTTGATTCTGCTGCTGACAGGCCCACTTTAAAATCATACAGCAACCAACTCCGAACGAGCACCTATGACACGTCCATTTCAATCAGTTGCTGTGTGAGTTATGTTTGAAGTACCGATGAAATGCTCTTTTATACTCTTGGTCAATGTCCGGACTCCCATCCTAACCACTTCATCACCAGGTTTAGCGACTATTTTTATGTTGGGGTTTACTCTTCCAATGTCATATCAGAAATGGCAAGAATTTCTTTGGTTATCTTGTACAAGCATACAATAGAGTAAACCTTTGCTGAACATGAGAGTAATCATTAATATACCTTATGTATGGCAAAATGGAATTCTATAAAGATAACATTTTATAGAAAAAAATGTGTTAGGTATATTTTACATTAAGTATGTATAATTCAAACAAAACTTAAGTACTTTTTTTATTAAAACAAAAAATAAAACAAATGTTAATTGAAAGGATTTTTATTCCTGCTTAATAAATACACAACACAATTATTTAAAAAAAAAAAACTTGCTTGGGAAAATGACTGATGCAACTCTTTAAAAGTGTCATAATAAAAGTGCAGATTTTTTCAATACTTCAATATATCACAAAGTACCCTCTTCTTTCTTCATGTGGATCAATTCCCACTGCAAAATTAGACAGCTCCAGTACCTTTTGTTAACAATTTGTTGAACATGCTGTAAGTTAAGGGCACTTTTTCTTCTTCATCATCACTGTTTTCTAATTATCCCTCCTCCTTTCCTACATGAAACCCCTTTGCTGCCATCTATTTTACAGTTGGCATGATTTCTTTGGTTTCAATTTCAATTGATGGATAACTTAAAACTGTTAATAACTTCTGCCAAAGCTGATGTCATCAAGCATTCACTGCTAATGAAGTAATGTCAAACCACGTATGAATTAAATTCTGCTGTCAGACATGTTACTTGGAAACAATTAAAATACTGCATACATGTAAAACCACGTTCTAAAATCCGTATTCACCAAAGGTTTACTCTAGTGAACGTCACATCACATAAAGCAAATATACAGTTTTAGAAGATCACTTTTCATGTTAAACTATAACAATGCATTTAAAGAAGCTGTTTGCATAAAAGCTCACTTGAATTTTACGAGCTGCCAATTCTCTAATTTCTTCCGCTCGTACAGCATCATATCCCTGTAGCAAGGAGACTACTTCGCGGTTATCTTTCATAATAGCACAATCCAAAGCTGTAAGCCTAATAAACACAAAATTATACTTCCCAATCAGAAAATAAAAACCATACTCAAATCAGATTTTTATTACATTTTCTCATAAAGAATGCAGGTTCAAATTTATCATAAAATGACTGCAAATCACCTAAAACAGTCACATACAACTTTAAAACTGTAAAAAGTACTTTAGAGTACTCACTGTAAATAATAAATTATTCAATATTCCTGGCATTTTATTTTGATAACCTATTAATAAAACCTATCATCTACAGCTAAAAATTAATTTCCATGTTTTCTGAATTAGGTAAATTAATAATAATCATATCTTATATGCTCTGAACTTGGTAAATCACTAATTATACCCCTACGCATTAAATTAAAGAAATCATTTTATTTGCTTTTAGATATACAAAGCAAAAGAGAACTGGGTGAATAGTTTTAAATACCTTGTAATTTTTCCCATATTAATTAAATCTAAAGTAGCATTAATATATACATTTGTGATGAAGAAAACTACATTGAAAACAATATGAAAATAAAAGAAAAGGGATTTACCACATATTACAAGGAAATCAGCAAAACATCTGAAGAAAACAATATCAATTTTGCACAAAAAAGAAAGCTTTAAAAATTATTTCTAAATTCAGAACACACATTGATAAACTGACATCATATTTTGATATAAAAATAAATTACGTGAAAGAAATCCATTAATGTCACTCAACTACACTAAAAAAAACTCCTCATCTTAAAAACATTTTTAGTATTCTTTAAGCAAAAAATTAACTATGTAAACCATCTTTAAAAATTTTTACATTTTTCCTTATTATTACTAATTATAACTTCAATTAGTGTAACTTAAAATCACACAAAAAAGTTGGAAGCTCAAATTTTTATTACTTGCCTAGTCTAACTAGAAATAAATTTAATATAAAGAAAAAAATTACAATCAACTCCCAGTTTAACAAAGTCAGATTAATTGGATCGCAGATTAACAAGGTTCCGTCTGAAAAGTTAAATTTGTTTAGTGCAGAATGATGGAAAATTGATATCACAAACGTCAGTATTTTGAATACTGATTTAATTTACACACCAAAATAAGCTTATTTTCCAAACTACTTGAAAATACAAGTTAACTGGTTAATAGTGTTAGTACAATATGGGTTATTCTCTTTCCTGTGTTTTTTCATTGCCTTTAAATGAACTGTTATTTTGTGTATTTACTGAATTATATGCATAATCTAAAGCATATAATTCAGTAAATCAGGAGTGACTATGCTTGGACATTAAAGTAATTAATAAACAAAATAATTATAATATTAAAATTCATACCAATCATTAGTCCTAGCCATTGCATTAACATTCGTGTTATATTCACACAACAATCTGGATGCACCTCTTTGGCCACTAAGAGCAGCTACATGAAGAGGAGTTTTTCCCTATTAAATTTGAGAAAATGATACAAGTAACTTTCAATAATATATTTTCCTTTCACACATGTTTTTGTTGTCTTTTGCTGTTTATTAATAGTCTAAAAGCCATACATAAGATATGCATGAAAATAAATGACAAAAATAAATATTATATATGAAAATTACTTCTTCGTCAACAACATTTGGATCAGCCTTTGACTCAAGCAGGACTGAAACACAATTGATATTTCCAGTTTGTGTACAGGCATAATGCAGTGGAGTCATCCTACAAACAAATTTCATAACATATTTCAAAATTAAATCCTTTAAATATATTTCCCATTTCTACTTGACATAACATTCTTCCAACATAGTTCACTTTTTAATTATCTTAATAATAATATATGATATTATTTATGCAATGATAAATATAAAATGCTACTGCTCACCCTGTTACATCCTGGGCGGTATAATCAGCACCTCGCATCAGTAATATTTGACAGAGGTTAGCATGACCTCCAAGTGCACACCTATTAGCACAAAAGATAAAATAAGGTAGACCTTTTAAAAATTAAATCTGAGACTACTGAATGCATTCTTATAATTTTAAGTTCATTAAATAAGTAATTTATTTACAAAGTAGAATACTTTTTACAGAAATGATGAATAAATTAATTGTAATATTTGTTTCAACATAAAGATATTAAATGCAAATGCAAATGCAGATGCTCAATACATATTAATCACAAAGTGTTCACAACTATAACTACAAAACAATAAGAGAACTAGAATGACCAATTTAATTTTCTTCCTTGTATTTTTCATACTGAGCATTGCTTGAGTAACCTGTGCCCCCACCATATATAAATATTATTTGGATATTTATTGCTATTTTATTTACTTCAGTTATAAATTGAGAATCAACATTTCCCAGGTGGTCCTCCAGTCCACATTCTAAACTTCTTTGAAGTTTTGTAGCAATTTGCTTGCTTTAGACTTTAAAAAAAAAAAGAGAGAGAGAGAGAGAGTCATTATTGTTATTAGTAAAATTTATTAGTAAAAAAATGTAAGGGTAAATCTGAATGTGTCCATGAAAACATTTCCCACCTTTACCCTAAAAAAAAACTAAGTTTCCTACAGCTTTGCTGTAATGAATTAGCTAACAAATTAGTCAATTTAGCAAGTAAAATAAAATGACTGATAGATACTGCATTAACAAAATTAAATTTAATAACTTATTACATAATATTAATCCACTAACACTTTTTCATATAATTCTTAAAAATAGAATTTTTTTCTTAGGTATTTAGGTAATTATATACAATTTGAGGGGGGCAACATTAAGAAACTTAACAGCTATATTTAATTCTAGAAGTTAGAAATCAAGCAGATGATATCAAAACTAATTCAGTTACATTTAAAGTAAAAGAAAAAAACTTTTAATTGTAAAAACATTAACCACATTGCCCATTTTTGTAATAAATAAAATTTAAAAGGTGTTTCAAATGCAACAAAACTGAATATTTTGCCAATTCTTGAAGAAAAGAATTTTCTAAAAATAAACAATTTTGTAAAATATGCTAAAAAAGACAATTATATAAATACAGTTCCCCATCCCCAAAGATAAAGTCAAGTTAGCCCTAATTAATCAACAAATATTTTTAAGTGTAAATGAAGCAAATAATGATATAAGCAGTACTGTTCATTACATAGTTGATTCAGGTTAGAGGAATTTCTTAGCAGATTCTAGAAATACTGCATCAGAAATTTCTTTGGCTAAAATGTCTTAATCTACATTAATAATAGGTACAGTGGAATCAATATATCTTGAAAGATGTCTTCTGCATTCCAGAACTAAATGAGAACTTATTATCAGCATATGCAATAACTAATAACTGTGTTGAAGTTAAATTCTTTGACAGATAAAGCAGAAATAAAAAAAAGAAGTTTGAAGAATTTTGCAGGTATGCAGAACAGAAAATGAATTGTATGATATAGTTCTTGACCAGATATTTAAAAATGCAAGCTCCTTAGCTGAAAGGAACGTATCTGAATCTATATTATGGCACAAAAAGCCTGGGACATCTTGGTTATAAAAATATGAAGAAAACTGTTCTAATATCTAAGGCATACTTACCAACTTACGACACTCAAAAATCAGATTTTTCTCAACAATAAAAATATTTTTAAATGATAAAAAATATTTTTAGTAATGAATTAATTTTTAAATAGTTAACATCTGAATTAATAATAGGAATTAATGAAAGTTCAGTAACTAATTCCTACAAGCAAATAGTAAATATATTTACATCTAAGAAAAAACATTTTTATTATTTGCACCTTTTAACAAAATATAATACTTTAATCACTTTTCTTATAAATGCTATGAACAGTGGAAGATTTTGCTTTCATTAAGGAAAAAACTTCATAATTTTATTCACAGCAACTGTCATGTAGGCCTGCTTTTGCTAACAAGTTTTTCTAATCTGCAATTACTAATATTATATCTAAATCCAGTCCTTGTTTTCGCAACAACACTGAAAATCCTCTCACACTCTGCATTACTATGAGGAATAGTCAGGATGGCCAACATTAACTAGACAGTTCACTATACTTTAAAATTCCATCAATACTTTCGAATGTTTTCCAATTGAATGCCACTGGGTGTCAATCCTAGCTGGTTTTATAACTTTATCCGAGTTTTCTACTTGTAAACTGCAAATGCAATTTATCAGCTGCAATATCAATATTTTTTTCATGATTATATGAAGTAAAACTGGAAATCTATTCAAAAAATATCTTACATTGGAAAAAGATGCATTTGCTAGAGCATTAACCTCTGCAATTTTGGCACATAAATTCACTTCCGTGTTGATTGGAAATTTATTTAGTATATAATCACATACTCAGCAGAAGTAGCTTCTAACATTAAAATAAAACTAATTTTTGTCTTCCTCTTAAAATTATCCCACTACTTTGTTTGTTGCAGCCTAATTACCAAATCTTCATTTTCTTCTGATTTTCTATTTCACCATAAGTCACATCACATACAGAATTAGAAGACAAAACAAAGACTAGTTTTACAATCTTTGATAAAATGTCTTTAAACAGATCATAATGCAACATGAATTCTGCTTTGTAGAACTGCGTTACGTACATTAAGTGACAGCAAAATGACTTATACAAAAAAGCAAAAGGCCTTGTTAAGGTCACAGACAAAAACATAAATATTTGTTCTTCACAAGATATAAAATAATATTGTAAAATAGTTTATGAGAGAACTTTGTGTCAGCTTTACGCTTACATTTTATAGTATTATTTTGAGAAATGCTAATTAAATTGCTAACTGGTGAAGAAATGATTTTTCTCAAACCTATTTTTAACAGTGGACATAGTAACTACATTTCCATTTACTTTAGGTATTTTATAACTTTCAATACAGCCTTTTATCTTAACTGCAGAAACATTTTCATCTTCTTTCAAAAATACAAGAAGTGGGTTCCATTGGTTGCAACATTTCTTTAAAGAAAGCCAGCATATACATACATGTTTCAAAATTTTTCCTTATTTCAGTCTATACAGCTGTTTCAATTTTTCCTTTCAAGATAATAATAAATATCAACAATGTTTCATATACACTCATTGGTAAAGAAGGTGCCTCTTTTTCAGCTTCTAAATTTAAGAGGTGAGAGGTGCACCTCATAATTTGCAAATCCGAATTTTCCTTTTTTAAGATGCCTGCAACACCAATCTTTAAAACCTATCATTACCGATGCAACCAAGTGCTAACTAATTATCCAGTGGAATAGCATTTTCTTGCACCTGTCAAATGTCTTTCTAAAGGGGGACAGAAAGTAAACAACACTCAATTTCTGATTAAAAAGAGAAACAATAAGTGGTTACAGTTTTGAATTGGTATTATTGACTCCATCCATTCCAGAGAGGCAGAACAGAACTGTTTTAATGTGATCAATAATTGACAATTTATTTTTCATACATTTCTTTAACAACTGCAGCCGTTTTAGGCACTGCACTTGAGTATTTCTTAGCGGTTTTGCTATCACGAAAGATTTTTCTAAATAAAGCCACAGCGTGATCCGATGCATTCAGCAGCAGGTTGTGCTCCAGTAAAAAGGCACAGAACAGGCATTCTGCATTGATAAATTTTTGCTCTTTTGTTCCCACAGAAAAATTTGATTTTTCGTTTTTTTTCACTAGAACTCATGTTGCCCTTGTGTTTTTGTGTATGCACATGTTTGAAAACATCGTCCCTTTCACTATGCCAAATAAAAAAATTGCAATGACAAAAGGTATACATTGCAAATGTATTACAGTTTCTTGAGGAAATAGTGGAAGGAAAGTCATTTATTTACAATTTTTTTAAAGTACATGGGTATCCTTTTTAGCAGGTATAACTAACACAAAAGATCATAATTTCTTAAACTATTTCCTTAAAGCATATGTACTCAGCGAAAACATGAACGAAATAACCTTGATCTTACTTTGTGATCACTGGTTAATATATGCCAGATGACATGCAGTGACACTCAATGCTCGTTGAAGAACTGGAAGACAATGTTTTTAGACATGTGCCCTCACTCACAAAGCAGTAGTGCACCATAATTTCTCACTGATGAAACTACTTTGGCTTTCTTTTACATGTAATCTAGAGAAAAACCGAATGCTTTCAGATGCCCAAAATCACTTTTTTGGGGGGTGCAAATAAAGAAGTATTAAGGTAAGCTATATAAAAATCATGAGCAATTTTAAGAATATGAGAAAGTCAGGAGAAATACATTGTAAATCTGTTTGGTAGGGTAACGATCGGAAATCGGAAGAATTGGCAACTCTGCTAAAAGTAGGAAGATTTCTGATGATTGTCTGAAAGATGATTCCATCTGTGAAATACATTTGCAAGGTAGACAAACAAGATTACCTTTCTGAAAGAACAAGAGCTAAGAGCCCTTCAAAACTAATTCATTCTGATGTCCATGAACCAATTGATCCAGTAACATAGATTAAGGAGAAATGTTTTACAACTTTTCTTAATGACTATACACATTCTGTAATGATATAATTCCATATAAATAAACAATATAAATGCTTAATGCAATAAAAGATTATGTAGTAGAAGTCGAAACTAAATAAAATACAAAAATATCAAAATTAAGATGTGAGAATGGTGTTGAATTTATTGATGAAAATGTAAAATTTTGGTGTGAAACAAAGGAATTATTCTGGATTGCATGGTTTCTTTTTTACCAGATTTCAAAATGGACAGAAAGAATGAGCTGAATAGTAATATTAAAAAACAACAGCCCTCCTGAAAGATTCCAAATTAGAAAAAGAGATGTGGGGAGAAGCTCTTCAAACTGCAACTTAAGATACAATAACATGCCGAACAAATATTAATTTAGAAGTCAAACAACAAAAAGTCCTCCAACCTATCCCTTGATGACTAAATTATTTAAAAGCAATAGCTATTGACAGGGGCTTTTCACCCAACATTATTAATCAAGCAGTTAAAAAA